TAAATATTAATATACAGCCCGACTGACCATGGACTTCACTGTTTCTTGAACTTTAACAGAATGAACACTACAACCACAACCATGATTGGTTCCGATCACCACAATTTGGAAGCACAATTAAACGCCATATGTTGCGCTTTGTTACGATTCAGTACGATCTGATTCAATGATTACGATTGACAATTAATCGTGTTGATCGTAGAAAATATTTGAACTGTCCAAAATATTTCTGTGATCAACACGATTGCCACGACTGACCTCAAGATCTGATAAGATCTGATAGGATCACTATGATTAGTCCATAATTAAGACCACGATTTCAGTCGTGGCGCGAATCATGATAGTGTGAACATAGCATTACCATTGTTTGACACTTAAATTTAGTGCAGTTAATAAGGACCCTAAATAATTTGAAACATCGGGTCTGACACCAAATCGTCCTGCCACAGGTCTATGGGCAGGTTCCTGTTTTGACCACTGACTGCCTTCAGTAACATTAAAACCTGTACTTTACTCAACATCTGTCTGCAGACCTAAAAGAACATACAGAGAGCTTAAAAGTGCTTTTGATGTTTGAACCTGAATTCTATAACACAAATTCTGTCTGAAAATCTTCAGTGATGCATACTTTCAGTCTAATCATCTCAGCATTGACATACTTAACATTACTTATTTATGGGTCATTGTCTAATATTTAATTACCTTCCATTCCATTTTTTCTTTCAAGTCTTATTTCTGGAGATAGGCCTTACTCAACAAACTTTATGTCTTAGGACAAATTGCAGGTCGTTAATACCTGTTTGTAGTTTTCCTTTTCAGAACATGTACTTCTAAAGGGTTGACGAGAACATTTTCTTTTAAGATTTATCAGAAAATCATTTTTCAGTTTTAGTGGTTTAGGATTTGGAGTTATTTTCAGGAACTAATACAGTCTGAAGAGCATTTGCAATTGATTAAGACCGACCTGTGTGTACCCAGAATATTCTTGAGCTATATTAGAGTTTGATTGTGATGAAACGTCTAATTTTGTGTGATTCTCATGGCCATTTTCTGGTGTAGTGCTGTAGGGGATAGCTATGGATGACTTCATTAGGTGGAGAGGACGCAGATTAATTCAGTTTGATGTCTTCCATTCTATTTGCATTTTTGACTGGACTATAATTGTAACAAATGCTTGATGCTTGTGATGACATTTTGTTAATGTCATTGAACAAAGTAATCAATAGAAGTATGTTGACAACGGAATTCAGCTATAATTGTTTATGTTCTGAATTGTAATTATGGCTCACCTTTGGATGAAATGTTTCGGTGTATTTCTGTGGTTCAAACCTTGGTCACCTCATAAAGAAAGATGTTAAAGATGGCACTTGTTGTTACCCTGCCTTGTGCTAGGCATTGGCTGGGTGAAACGAGGGCTGATTGGCTTGTGTCGGTGTAGGGTATCCATGCCAAACGGGCGGATTTCAGTGGTCTAGCTCTCTGAAACCAGTTTGAACAATTGCAGGCCTACCATACAAACGGTAAACAAATCAAACTCATATTATTATATGGCCTACCATACAAACAAACAAACTGAACTCATATTATTATTATTATTATAGGATATTTATATAGCGCACATATCCAGGCAACAAGTGCATGCTCAAGGCGCTGGTATTTTCGCCTCGATCATTGGATGTCAATCTCAACGGCACACCGTATTATCAATCTCAACTCCCTGGGGAGTATACAACTCTTGCAGCCACTAGGCGCACCAAGTTAATGTGGCTCTCTCATCCTAACAAGGTACCCATTCACAGCTGGGTGGACTGGGACACATAGTCACAGTACTTTGTCCAAGTTCACTGCACGTTGCTGTACCCGCAACTAGGTGTTTGCACGTATTCATGTGGCCACCATCTGGTCATATACCAACGGATTCGTGGGTTCTTTTAAGTGCACAGGGTTGTGTACTGTACACTAGGGGTTGTGACAACACTGAAAGACACTGATATACACCAAAACAGAACAAAAATCACCAAAATAGGAAAATAAACTTCCCAAACTGCAACAATATCCTCCAAAACCGAAACAATACATCTGTTATGGAAGACTAATCATTTGAAATGGAAACAAAACTCTCATATCAGCTACAAGAGCGCGCGAGAACGGTCGCTGAGCGTACAAAACGGCATTCATAGCATCCCAACACGGCAGTCATAGCATCCCGAAACGGCATACAAATCATCAAAGATGGAGGCGAAGGGAGACGAATAGGCTTTGGTACATAATGTTTTTCGTCACTATGAGTCTAATCTTGAAAATTTGATATCGGGATGTAGCGCATCAACCCCATATTGTAGTAAGCTTCAAACCTCTGTCCATACTTCTCAGTGTCAGGCTTGCAATTCTGCACAATGTGGTCCCTCGTTCGACCGAATAGGATTTTTTGTCAACATGTCGTGCTACTGTTTCTCTTCAGTTTTGTTAATAAAGTATTCATGGCATCACATTCAACATTACTATATTTTAGCGATTTAAAAAGTTTACAAAAACTTTGTTTGAATTGGCCTGTCTTTATCATGGTGTCCATGCTGTTTGATGTCTGGCCTGCCTGTAGCATGGTGTCCATGCTGTTTGATGTCTGGCCTGTCTGTATCATGGTGTCCATGCTGTTTGATGTCTGGCATGTCTGTATCATGGTGTCCATGCTGTTTGATGTCTGGCCTGTCTGTAGCATGGTGTCCATGCTGTTTGATGTCTGGCCTGTCTGTAGCATGGTGTCCATGCTGTTTGATGTCTGGCCTGTCTGTATCATGGTGTCCATGCTGTTTGATGTCTGGCATGTCTGTATCATGGTGTCCATGCTGTTTGATGTCTGGCCTGTCTGTAGCATGGTGTCCATGCTGTTTGATGTCTGGCCTGTCTGTTGCATGGTGTCCATGCTGTTTGATGTCTGGCCTGTCTGTAGCATGGTGTCCATGCTGTTTGATGTCTGGCCTGTCTGTATCATGGTGTCCATGCTGTTTGATGTCTGGCCTGTCTGTTGCATGGTGTCCATGCTGTTTGATGTCTGGCCTGTCTGTAGCATGGTGTCCATGCTGTTTGATGTCTGGCCTGTCTGTATCATGGTGTCCATGCTGTTTGATGTCTGGCATGTCTGTATCATGGTGTCCATGCTGTTTGATGTCTGGCATGTCTGTATCATGGTGTCCATGCTGTTTGATGTCTGGCCTGTCTGTAGCATGGTGTCCATGCTGTTTGATGTCTGGCCTGTCTGTAGCATGGTGTCCATGCTGTTTGATGTCTGGCCTGTCTGTAGCATGGGTGTGCTGTTTAATGTCTAGCCTGTCTGTAGCATGGTGTCCATGCTGTTTGATGTCTGGCCTGTCTGTAGCATGGTGTCCATGCTGTTTGATGTCTGGCCTGTCTGTAGCATGTTTGATGTGTCCATGCTGTTTGATGTCTGGCCTGTCTGTATCATGGTGTCCATGCTGTTTGATCATCTGGCCTGTCTGTAGCATGGTGTCCATGCTGTTTGATGTCTGGCCTGTCTGTATGCATGGTGTCCATGCTGTTTGATGTCTGGCCTGTCTGTATGCATGGTGTCCATGGTGTCCATGCTGTTTGATGTCTGGCCTGTCTGTTGCATGGTGTCCATGCTGTTTGATGTCTGGCCTGTCTGTAGCATGGTGTCCATGCTGTTTGATGTCTGGCCTGTCTGTGCATGGTGTCCATGCTGTTTGATGTCTGGCCTGTCTGTTGCATGGTGTCCATGCTGTTTGATGTCTGGCCTGTCTGTAGCATGGTGTCCATGCTGTTTGATGTCTGGCTGTCTGTCTGTCCATATAGCATGGTGTCCATGCTGTTTGATGTCTGGCCTGTCTGTAGCATGGTGTCCATGCTGTTTGATGTCTGGCCTGTCTGTAGCATGGTGTCCATGCTGTTTGATGTCTGGCCTGTCTGTAGCATGGTGTCCATGCTGTTTGATGTCTGGCCTGTCTGTAGCATGGTGTCCATGCTGTTTGATGTCTGGCCTGTCTGTAGCATGGTGTCCATGCTGTTTGATGTCTGGCCTGTCTGTTGCATGGTGTCCATGCTGTTTGATGTCTGGCCTGTCTATAGCATGGTGTCCATGCTGTTTGATGTCTGGCCTGTCTGTTGCATGGTGTCCATGCTGTTTGATTAAGTTGTATATTTCGAAGACATTTCTGGGACTGTTACATCTTTGGTTTCCTGATGACAAAAGTTTTCTTCATGGTATCAGAATTAGGAATGAAATTGAAAACATGAACTCAAATTATGATGATTAAGGGCCATATCTTTAATAAACTTTGGCTTGAAATTTCAACGGTGTATCTGAACCCCAAGATGGATGAACCAACAAATGGACTGTCTCAAGTTTTCATTATTTGTCTGAGTCCAAAGAATTGCACTTATTTACTATTAGTTCTTATTTTTTAAAGTTCAGAGGTACTTCAATAATTTCATGTAATATTGCAGTAAGTATTAAAGCTTCTGCCTCTTTGTTTGTAGTGTTATCAGTGAAAGTCAAGGTGAATCGACAAAGCCAAAGTATCCTTATAACTGTAACATGGGCTTGAAACCTTTCTCATTCCAATTTTGGCAGTTGTATGGGTCAACTTCTTTGAGAGGCATTTTAGAAGTTGTATAGATGAAGGAAAACCAAGGTCTATGGATAGTCAACTTCTTTATTGCAATGATTGTGATGTTTCATTGTAGGTACTAACACCGTTATCAAGCACTATGCAGCTATGTATATATTCTCCATGTTACAACTCTTTGTATCACTTGCTTGATAATGGTGTTAGTACCTACACCAAAACGTTGCACTCATTGCAATAAAGAAGTTGACTATCCATAGACCTTGGTTTTCCTGCATGGGTCAAGCTAAATCCCTTTCTTTACATTAGACTCCCATTCAGTGAATAAAGTCTGAGTTAGTTGAGCTACTAGGAACATTCCTATTCTTGGAATTTAATTTTGAATGTATATTTCAGATCGACGACCATCCCATTCCCACAACCATGACGATAAGTTGTCCCTCAACAAGATCCTGGAGGTCATTAAGAAGGGAGATGACCAGGAACTTAAAGATATGAACAAGAAGCTTCAGCGTATGTTGGAAGAGACCCTCACCAAAAACATGCATCTCCAGCAGGTAGGACTTGTGTTAAAACATGCATCTCCAGCAGGTAGGACTTGTGTCACCTGTGTTAAAACATGCATCTCCAGCAGGTAGGACTTGTGTCACCTGTGTTAAAACATGCATCTCCAGCAGGTAGGACTTGTGTCACCTGTGTTAAAACATGCATCTCCAGCAGGTAGGACTTGTGTCACCTGTGTTAAAACATGCATCTCCAGCAGGTAGGACTTGTGTCACCTGTGTTAAAACATGCATCTCCAGCAGGTAGGACTTGTGTCACCTGTGCATTAAAGGTGGGACTTGTGTCATGCATCTCCAGCAGGTGGGACTTGTGTCACCTGTAAAACATGCATTCCAGCAAACCTGTGTTAAAAGATGCATCTCCAGCAGGTAGGACTTGTGTCACCTGCAGGTAAAACATGCATCTCCAGCAGGTAGGACTTGTGTCACCTGTGTTAAAACATGCATCTCCAGCAGGTAGGACTTGTGTCACCTGTGTTAAAACATGCATCTCCAGCAGGTAGGACTTGTGTCACCTGTGTTAAAACATGCATCTCCAGCAGGTAGGACTTGTGTCACCTGTGTTAAAACATGCATCTCCAGCAGGTAGGACTTAAAACATGTCACCTGTGGGACTTGTGTCACCTGTGTTAAAACATGCATCTCCAGCAGGTGGGACTTGTGTCACCTGTGTTAAAACATGCATCTCCAGCAGGTAGGACTTGTGTCACCTGTGTTAAAACATGCATCTCCAGCAGGTAGGACTTCTCCAGCAGGTAGGACTTGTGTCACCTGTGTTAAAACATGCATCTCCAGCAGGTAGGACTTGTGTCACCTGTGTTAAAAACATGCATCTCCAGCAGGTAGGACTTGTGTCACCTGTGTTAAAACATGCATCTCCAGCAGGTAGGACTTGTGTCACCTGTGTTAAAACATGTCCAGCAGGTAGGACTTGTGTCAAAACATGCATCTCCAGCAGGTAGGACTTGTGTCACCTGTGTTAAAACATGCATCTCCAGCAGGTAGGACTTGTGTCACCTGTGTTAAAACATGCATCTCCAGCAGGTGGGGACTTGCATGTCACAGGTAGGACTGTGTCACCTGTCATAAAACATGCATCTCCTCAGCAGGTAGGACTTGTGTCACCTGTCATAAAACATGCATCTCCAGCAGGTGGGACTTGTGTCACCTAAAACATGCATCTCCAGCAGGTAGGACTTGTGTCACCTGTGTTAAAACATGCATCTCCAGCAGGTAGGACTTGGACTTGTGTCACCTGTGTTAAAACATGCATCTCCAGCAGGTAGGACTTGTGTCACCTGTGTTAAAACATGCATCTCCAGCAGGTAGGACTTGTGTCACCTGTGTTAAAACATGCATCTCCAGCAGGTAGGACTTGTGTCACCTGTGTTAAAACATGCATCTCCAGCAGGTAGGACTTGTGTCACCTGTGTTAAAACATGCATCTCCAGCAGGTAGGACTTGTGTCACCTGTGTTAAAACATGCATCTCCAGCAGGTAGGACTTGTGTCACCTGTGTTAAAACATGCATCTCCAGCAGGTAGGACTTGTGTCACCTGTGTTAAAACATGCATCTCCAGCAGGTAGGACTTGTGTCACCTGTGTTAAAACATGCATCTCCAGCAGGTAGGACTTGTGTCACCTGTGTTAAAACATGCACTCCAGCAGGTGTGTCACCTGTGTTAAAACATGCATCTCAGCAGGTAGGACTTGTGTCACCTGTGTTAAACACATGCATCTCCAGCAGGTAGGACTTGTGTCACCTGTGTTAAAACATGCATCTCCAGCAGGTAGGACTTGTGTCACCTGTGTTAAAACATGCATCTCCAGCAGGTAGGACTTGTGTCACCTGTGTTAAAACATGCATCTCCAGCAGGTAGGACTTGTGTCACCTGTGTTAAAACATGCATCTCAGCAGGTAGGTGGACTTGTGTCACCTGTCATAAAACATAGGACATCTCCAGCAGGTCCAGGGACTTGTGTCACCTGTGTTTTAAACATGCATCTCCAGCAGGTAGGACTTGTGTCACCTGTGTTAAAACATGCATCTCCAGCAGGTAGGACTTGTGTCACCTGTCATAAAACATGCATCTCCAGCAGGTAGGACTTGTGTCACCTGTCATAAAACATGCATCTCCAGCAGGTAGGACTTGTGTCACCTGTCATAAAACATGCATCTCCAGCAGGTAGGACTTGTGTCACCTGTGTTAAAACATGCATCTCCAGCTGATTTACTTGTATCTGTATACTCAGGAACCAAGCAGCTTGGCCACCTGATCATATGGGTGCCTCGCATGACCAGCATGACCGCCTCCGTGGTGTAGTGGTTAGAATGGCCGGAAGGTCGTGAGTTCGATCCCGACCGCGTCATACCAAAAGAGCGTTAAAATAGGGTACTTGTTGGTCCCTACCTGGCTCTCGAGTCAGTATAATGTGTCTGAGTGGGGGTATTCATGCTTCACTCGCGGCATGGTATCTCAGTGGGCTAGCACTATAAAACCAGCTTAAGTCTGGGCTAGTACAAGAACCGCATGCACATCGTCATATCTGTAAAACCCAATTTCACCTCACCTCACCTCATGACCAGCATAGGTTGTTGGAAACCAGTTCTGACCATGTATCCTGCCAGGGCTTCTGGTGAAAAGTGTTGACTCTCGGTTTCTTCCTCAATCTCGTTATGTCCGTTATCTGTTGTTTGGTTCAGAGTTGCACACGAGATCAATGCAAGACTCGTTTCTTGTTACACCGAAGATAAACTACATTATTTCACATGCCCAGTGCTAAATAATCTGAAAGGGCTGAAGAAAGAAGTTCTTCAAAGCACAGAACACCATCAACAAAAGTGCTGGTGTTGAGTTCAGTTGTTTCTTTTGAAAAATGGTTTTCTTGTGTGACAGTGTTAGGAGGCATTATGGATGACTTGTTAAATTGAATGGGACTTCTTCAGGGAGCTCTTTTTACTCTTGAAAAGTGGATATCAATTACTTGAAAAATGTGTAAGCATGGGACAATTTAGGTGTAAAATGGCAAGAAACAAGATTAGGTATTTCCCAGAAGTTCAATCGATTGATGCAGTTGAGTCATCTCACCTTTAATAGAGAGTATTATTCAAACAAGGGGATTTTTCTCAGAGAGGGATTTTAACTTGGTGAAGTCATCTTTCTCAACATCACACGCAGAATAAGTGACAAGAGTGGCAACTTACACAAATCTGACGTGATCAATGCGGACCACTAGCGCCATGTTGAGATGCCGATGACACGAGTTGAAGGCTGTCTATTGCCATATCGGCACTTGTTCATTGTAATCAAACCATTGCATGAATCTAGTTTCATTTATTTGCTCCCCAATTTGACATGGCAGAGATCTGTGGGTCTTGACAGGATTCTTGGAATTTGTGTTTACTGTGAGAGGAAGAGTGGCTCTAATAATGTCTGTGTGCCCATAATGCCTGGCAGAATGTCCTATAAACGTTGAATATAAATTGGCCTTCATTCTCTCATGCCCTTTGACAGTCAGACACTCTCCTACCAAGGCTTATGAAGCACAATGTACAGGAATGCTGCCTCAAAATAGATCCCCCGATCAATACCCAGTTATTGAAAAGGGAGCTCATGAAAAGTGAAAAAAGTGAAGACATATCACAATCAGTTTAACTGCCTTTACACCAGGCTGTTGAAATCTGATTGACTTTGACCAGGCGGGGCAGGAAGCGTTTGAATCATGAAGTGAATTTCTTGTTTCTGTGGGAGACTTTGTGTACGTAGTGTGATGACTTAATAAAATTTAATCTGGGAATAGGGTGAGTTTACGTCATAGTCTCACACTCTGACATTTAGAGTGGTATATTCCTATCATTTCTCATAATAAAATCTAATACGGGAACTGAATGCTGGCGAAAAAGTGTAGTCATTTTAATTTCAAATATATCTTGTAAGGAGATAACGTCAAATGCTAAAGTCATGTAACTTCTTCCGTTTTATCTAAAAGGGGGAAATATCATCCGAGGGTTAGAAGTATACAAAAGTCTCATACATTTTGATGAACAATTTTGATATTTTGGTTCTTAATAAGGCTACATAGCTGTGATAGTGCACAAATTAGAATTTGTTTATGAAAGTTGTCTTGCTTTTGAGAATTCTCAAATTATTATTAATACTTGTAATCGCAATTTTAGGTCAGATTATATGATTTCATTGTTTAGTTTTATGACAGTTGCATGACAGGCTGCAATTAACAGTTTATGTAACCAAGATGGATGTTGAGTTTAAAGCTGTTTGAAAGTAAAATAATTTGAATTTTTAACTGACTAATTTTGCTGATCCAATTACAAGGACAGTTCCAGAACAGCATTTGTTCATGACATCAAATAAACATTTTAGGAATGTGTTTATGAGGGTTTGTTTTGTTTGTTTGTTTGTTTTTTTTGGTGGGGGTGGGGATTGTTGTTGTTTTAAAAGAAAATAATTTGTATTCATAATGTTTCAGTCATCTTGGAAACTAATGGACTCAGCATTTGGAAACTGTTAATGTTACGTTGGACTTGGAATATAAAGACTGTATTTGAATGAAGACTGAGATATTTAATGTTCTTTATGACATTTCAAGATTCAGATTTCAGCCATTGCAGATGGTAATGGAAATATAATACAGTGATACATGGAGGGTGGATTCCAACAAAATGTCTTTTAATGATCATATGGATGCCTTGATTTTGTCGTAGTCAGGAGTTCAAACCTGCAAATATACACTATGTGACTTTCACCACAACATTGAAAATTGTTGAATTTTATAGGTAGTGTAATTATGATACTGATATACATGTATAGTAATGATCCCTCTGAAAGGTGAATTTTATAGGTAGGGTAATTATGATACTGATATACATGTATAGTAATGATCCCTCTGAAAGGTGAATTTTATAGGTAGGAATAATTATGATACTGATATACATGTATAGTAATGATCCCTCTGAAAGGTGAATTTTATAGGTA